AGGCAGAATGTGGCATATAAAACAACACTTAAACCAACCATCCCTGTTGTTATATATTCCAAGGGAATACTTGATACTTGAATTTGTCTTCAAAAATATCTGGATTTTTTTTGGGGGGGGGAGCAACAAATTAAGACAAACGTTAGAAGATGTAATTAAATTCTGTAAATCTGGTATTTCAGAATGATATTTTCCTTTTCTGACTGTCCCTGTAAAATGCAGTGAATAGCACAGCCAAGCATGAGGCATTCAGCACCAAATGAATGCATCACTCTCTGACCAGCCCCGAAACAGACAAGTCCATACAGTTTTCCTCAAGTGGGTAAATGTTAAGAGAGAATAATCCAAGTTTCATGATGCAGCAGGACAAAGCTGGGTAGTGAAAATTATGTTGCAGTAGAGTCTTGAAAATATGACTGTAAAAGTTAATCAATAAAATGTCTATTCCTGTCTATTCACTAGAGGCCCCAGCTGCATAGCTTCACACAATCGATACTACAAATTATTACGATTTCCAGGTTCCCACTGGACATTCTGAACAAATCTTTCAAGTGTAACAGGCTTACATCGTGGGGTTGTTGTAGCCTGGCTTCCTTCCTCTGCACTCCCCGCACTTCAAATTTTCGGTGTAGTTCATCAGAAAAAGTAGCAAATTAAATATTTTAAAGCCTCTGAACTTTGTGCAGCTGCTAAATTCTGGATTATTCTTGCTTTCTTTTGTGTTTCCTTGACTTTTCCTTCCAATACTATTTGTACTCATATTAGACAGTCATAATGAGGTAATCATGGAGGAGATAACTTCACATTTTATTTTGTACATGTGCGAACATGTCCTAGTTTTGAAATCCTGAATAACTGAAAAAAAGGCCATAGAGCTATCTGATTATCAACCTACATTTTTCATTCCCTTATTTCCTGAAGTTTTAGCTTTTCCACATCTGCACATTTTTTTCAATGTTTTAACAATGTTTACCATGCTGACAGACTGCTCTTTGTGTTCTCCTGCCTTAGGAGAATGATTGCTTCAATATTGCTACTACAGCCCCAAACCTACTGTATTAGGTCTTTCTGGGGTGTTATACAGACACACACAAGGAACATTTTTATTTTCTCTCTTACCTCCTAGCTTCTCTATGATGATAGCCTATCTTTGAATTTTGTTCCTCAAAAGTGAGAAACTGTCTCCACTCTCAATCCTTTATTATGGAATTGTTTCCCATTTAAAGTTCCAATCTTGCTAGAAATATTATCACTGTACATTTGGTAGCTGCATCAGTTTATAACCTCACTGCGTTAATGTGGTCAGCTGCTCCTCTTTAAGAGATAGAGGGCCCAGCCTATTTGTAGTCTCTGTCACTCCCCCCTCTGTTTATTCATAAACCTGCTCCATCCTGTTTCAACACTCAGCTGTATTGTTGTTGGTTTTTAAAAAATATACTTTCACAATATTTGCATTTAAACTTGATATGCAATTTTATCTGGAAGTGCAGGCAAATGTTCTATTCTAAATATGTCTTTTTATGCACATTTTGCTGTTTGTTTTACCTCAGTAGCATATCAGAATATTTGAAAAAAGTGTAAAAATCCAAGGAAAACAACATCCTAATCTTTGTATTAGTCTCAGAAATGTAAACCAGGTTGGTTTGCTTCGAAGTTCAGATCAAACAAAATCCTTGTGCATTTCTATTTGGTAGCAATCAATCAAGTAGTGAAGCCAATGTTATCACAGCCATTGCAATTGCACATAAACATGGGATAGGAGATACGATAGTATGCATTTTTGCTTTTTGGCCAGGTGAAATAGAGAAAAGATTTTCCATCTGGGTAGAAGTATAAGTACGCTGTCAATTCAAATGAAATTTAACATGGATCAGCATCTAACCAAAATGTGTGGAAAGTTTAAAATTCTTTTCAACTTTTAGGAAAATAGTTTTAGTGGCCAGCTTATCAGCTAATTTATCGGGCACCTTGGAAACTTTCTGTATTTTCATCATCTCTAACAAGTGGGGCGCTTGGTAATATGCCACATTAATATTTCTAGTAAAAGGCAGTCCCTTATCAAGCCTTTGAAGAGTTAAAATGTTACATTAATACAGTGGTACCTTTATACTCAATTGCTTTCAAACTCATTGAATTTGGTAATCAACGTATTTTGAAATGAAAATTTTCTCCCAGTACTCATCATTTGTTTGGTACTTCCTTATGACTCACTACATTATTCCTTATGGGGAAAAAACGGTTTGGTACTCATCATTTTTGATACTCATTGCATCTCCCGGAACCAATTAATGATAAATACTGAGGTGCCACTGCAATTATATCTGAAGAGAATGTTTGCAAATTTATAAAATAAATATGTAACATGCTAGCAAAGGTTTAATAAGAATCTTTTATATATTTTATTTCAAAATAGTTTTGACTTTCATGGTTCAATATTAAAAGCACCTTCTTAACTACAGATGGTTTTGACTATATTTCTACCTTACATAACACAATTATCCATAGTTCTTAAGAATCTAAAAATCATTTTTACTGTTTGCTCATTATACTAACCTGGATTATGCAGCATTAGTTGTCATGTTTAAGAAGTCTTGCTCTCCTCTTAACTTCTGTTCCACAAATAAAGCACAATCTTCATAAAGGAAATTTATGCAAATGTCGCATAAAGGAACTATAACACAACTTGTATAGCAGAACCAAATTGAAATGTTTATGCAAAATAGTGTGAAATATTGTTGGATACTTCTCCAGTAATATGCAACTATCCCTAAATTTTATTCTCTACAATGAAGATAATAGATCTGTTTCACGGCTGTCAAAAACAGCACTATTTCCCAAATTACGACATTATGAAGATATGATGCCTTAATTTCACTTTATATTATCTCCTCTCATTCAAGATCTATTGCAACAAAGACCTTTGTCAGGGATACTTTTAGGACACAAAATAACTCAACCAACTTCATGTGCTTGGGAATTCAGTCTTATTTGGTCCTCCTTATGTCTATATCTATCCTTTCAGCAATTCCTTTACCTACTGGCCAGACAAACTGCAGCCCTAGGACTTCACATAACACTTCACATATTTTAGTGTCTTCCATGCATCCATTAGACCACACTACCAACTTTTGGCAGCACAGTTATCCCAAATCAGCAATGCTGTTTTCAAGTGTTTGATGAAGAAAACAAAAATAATAAGCAGTAGTTATTAGTAGTTTAACACAAGAAAAGAAAAAAGTAATGGGAAAAAAACCAGAAAGTTCTTGCTCCAGTAATTTTATAGGATAGAATCCTAAACTTTCGTTCTTTCCTTCACAGCATTACAAACTTTTTCCGTCACAGCATTACAACCAGCTCCCAGTAACTGAAAGATTGATCATGCATAATCTGTATCTACCAGCGATGTGAAGTTAACTAAATAGAGCTTTTTATATAGTGGCTTGCACCCTCTGAAATATCCTGCCAAATGATTTTTTTCCAGAAATCTCATAACAACAGGTGCTGTTCATGTGAATGCTGTCCCAACTTTTTTGCTATTCCCTGAAATTATTTTTTGCACATGAAATGGGGATGAAAGGACACAAAATGATAATATTTGTGACTATTTGTGTCTATGAGAGAGAATTTAACAGTTTTTGTCTATTTTCTACAATTGATATATTGCATTACAAACATTTCTTAGTCCTTTCTCATAGTCATCTTGGGAGAATCCTACGCACAGCCTGTCCTCATCCTTGTATATCATAGGTTCTAGTTTATATAACTGCAATCTTACCATTATATTTATAATTTTAAGTGGTGGAGGTATGATTAAATAATTTATTTTCCTTTTTAAAAATTTGTTTATGTTTTATTTTATGCTTTTTTTTGCCTGATGACAGATTCTTGCTTATATGCCAGTACTATTTATATTACTATCAAAATAGCTTGGAAACCTATTTTGCTATGATTAGCTTGTTCCTTGAGATTCCAGGTAAATGATGAAACAGTTTGCTTGGCATTTTATATCATAATTTCAATGAATGAAACTGTTTCAGTCAAATATGGAGACCTATAACTGGGATCCTAAGGATATTTGATGGCTTTACCTGATAGGTTCTGCGCAATAACTTTAATACCATTGTGATTTGATCCAATGTAATCAGAGGTGTTTATCTTAGGGAAATATTTCACTTCTTACCACAAGTTTTAGATTAGTAAACTTTGTTGTCATCAAAGTATCGGTGATATCTTAGAACTTTTGCAGATCACATTTACTTTATAAGAATGCAAACAATCCTTGAGCTGCTTAAACTGGAGGCACAATATAACAGGCTTGACCAAAAGAATGCATTATTCAGGGTATTTAATGTTAGAATGTAGAAGAGAGAAGCACATTCTGCTGAAATGCATACCTTTCATAAGTCACATAAAAACTGCATCCTAAATCACAAACATAGCTTTTTTCATAAACATTAACAAATGTTTAAAAGTCTAAAAGTTTAAAGTTTTCTTAAAGAAAAAAAAAAGAAGACGTAGAAATCGAGTTCATTTTAGCAACTTCATATGTTACTCGTTACTCTGACTAGAAGCTCGAACTCTTAAGTTTGCTTTAATTTGGGAGCGTCTTGCTTTGAGGCAGCTTCTTGAACGAAAAAAGACAGAGAATAGGAGCCATATGTAACCTCCAGACCCCAAAAGAAAGAAGATGATGAGAATGCCATTGGCACACAGACAATAAAAAACACTATTTCCCTTCCACACCAGATTTTCACATTTTCTAGAGGTGGGGAGAAATATCAAAGGGCTGCTAGTTAATATCACTTGGGTAGGAAAAAAATGGAAAGCTATTTTTGAATGGAGTATCAGTTACTTACATTTAATCAATATATTAGTCAATTGCATTAACAAAACACATCACCTGATCAAAACAAACCCTAAACACAGAACTAAAAGAATTAATGCTGACTTCTGGCTAGTCTTCAAGTCTTTCTGAAACATCAAAACAAATAGCAACTCACTTGTAATCATTAATTCTTCGTGAGAATCTATAATGCATTTTCTCAGAGGCTTCAGCATTCTCTCTCTGCCTTTTCCTACTTCTCTGGGAAACTGTCGCTGCTCTCTGCTTGCTTAGCTGCCCTTGACTTGCTTTCAAGCTGGATTCCATTAGAAGTTTTTCATCCAGGCTGGCAAATTTTTGGGCTGGAAGATAATAAAAAGCAAGGCAGTTTCCAAAAAAGCCAATGATAGGCTTTTTTTGTTTATTTCTTTGTTTAATCGCACAGTTAATTCAATGAAATCCGATATAAATTTGTATTTTATAGGTTTAAGTAAACCCATTATGTTTCCCAGTTATTAACAGGCATAAAATATTTTAAAATGATTTTTAGAGGCCCAAATTTTTATTTTAGAATTATTGATACACCAGTCATATTCTTGTTTGAATCAAGAAAATTAATTCAATTAAATTCAGGGAGATTAATTATCAGGTAAATATTTGTAGGGTTTTAGCTTTAATAGTTTAAGACTGACTGCTTCCAAATTCATTATCCATGCAAACATACAATTTCTGGATTCATATTTCTTTATAGTAGACATGATTTGTTTTATTTCAAAAATACCTTCCTACTAATAACTGTCTCTCCCTTTTCATTTTCCTGTTTGCATTCTATGCCTTGTAAATAATTAAAACAGAAACTGGAAACTTCTGGGTCACTATTCCCCCCCACCCCATTATGTAGAGTACCCCATACTGTAAACAAATTCTCTTCCAAGGTCATCCAATAGATGGCACTCTTTCATTAGAGCAAAGAATCTGGAGCGGTGTGTTTCAAGCTATCTCAGAAAAAATAAGCAATTTAAGACAAAGACATTTTTCCTTTGTTCTTTTGTTGACCACATTCTAAGAAATATATACATATATATGTGTATATTTAAATATTTGTCCCTTAGCAGAGATATACAGTTGACTGATTTGGTGTTGATGCTGTTGTTTTTACAAAAAAGCTTTTTAAAAAATACAGCCTCAGATATACAAATGTTTATTGAGTTATGTAGTTCAAGTTTAATGAGGTACAGAATTACATTTTAGAATAAACATGTATCAATGAAGAATGGTTCATTTTGAAAAGTGAAGCCTATTAGTAAAGGTTGTGGAAATAATACAAATCTTAAAAAGGAAGAAAATGCTGAGGCACCTTGTTGAAAAAGCATCAAAGCCAAAATTAAGAAGGTCACATTTTATATATGGTAAACTTTATCAAATATTACCTTTTTAATAATCCTATTATTCTGGCAGAATAATGTGTAAATTAGGCTTCAATTAATTCAGAAAAAAGGGATAGGAATCATAAAACCAGTATTGTCATAGCAAAAAATTGGCTACTTTTTATAAATATCTTACATATTTCAAAACAATTGTAATTATCTGATGAGCTGACTATAAATTAAAGTATTTAGTCAACAATTAGGAATATTTGGAACAATCAAACCTGGCTTTCCTCTTCAATAAAAATACAGTGCTAAAAGCATTCTATGCTGTAACAATTGTATTGAAGAAATATCTAAAAATGAATATATATGTTTAGAGGTGAGATTATATTAAATGCAGTCTAGAGAGCAGTCCTAATGAAAATATCAATGTATTTAGTTTAGAAAGCTGATATTTTCCAGGCTGCAATAGAAATTTGAGAAGGAAGGTTCACTGCAATTATTAAATTTTTTAAAATGCAATACAAATATCAAGAAGGAAGGAAGAGGAAAGAAAACTATTTTAGCATCACAAAAATAGAAGCAAATCAGCTGGTAGATGCCTACCCTCATACAAAGAAAGCTAGATGCTTGAATAAAACTAAATGATTTCTTGTTTATTCTGAAACTCTGGGCTTGGCATTAGGAATATTCCATGCCATAAAATATTGTATCTACATATTTCAGGCTAGTTTGAAGATTGCCTTTTGGGAAGGTGGGGTGGGTGGCAAAATGTAACCGTTCAAGTAATTAAAATTATAAATGCAGGAACACTGCTGCTAATCTTTATAACTCCCAAATGCAGGTGGCTTTACAAACAATTCCATTTCTTGAAAGTAGCTGTTATGCTTGCGAATTCTGCCGTCTGACTTGCTGGTCTGAGATAAAGCTAATTTGAAGTACTGCCTGCTATTTTTTTTCCTTTAGAGAACAAACCCATGGATATAAATATCAAGGTTTGTACATTTTCTATGGAACTTGCCCTTTCCTACCGATAAAGCCTATTTATGTTCCCAATTCTCTGAAGAATGTCTTCTAATTCATAGTGTGCTGGTTGAAAAGGGTTAAATTATTTTAAGTTTACCTATGCCTTGGACTTGAGCCTCTGCTGATCCCAAGCCAGAGGCACGAGCAGCTGCATGCTTTATTTACAATCCCTTTGTCAGACTTACAACTGCCTCAGGCTATAACATAGTGTACCTAATGTTCAAACTGGCAGGTAATCTTATGTCAAACATACTTCTTTGATTTAAAGTGATCAATAGATTCTTGTAAAGAGGTAATTTCTCTGATGTTTCCACCTTGCCTTTCTTACAGGTGATTCACACAAAAGCCTGCTTATATGATGTACAAACAATAAACAGAAAGCTATAATCATGTTTTTTCAGATGTTTCCGGTGCACAACGATTTTGGATCAATACCCTGTGTAATACAATTATCTGCAATGATCTGGTTGTATTGAAAAAGAATTTGCAGCAAACCTCTAGGGGGTTTTATCCAGAAACATGTGTCTAGCAATGTTGTGAATAGTGGAAGAGAAAATTAAGGGTTTGACACAGGCTGTCCATTACGTTCCAAATGACTTCATTAATATTTTATTTGCTAAAAATCATATCTTTCAAAACTTTACTATAGGGGAGGGTCTGTTATGCTAAAGGATGATAATGAGGCCATGTCCTTTCAATATTGACTATTTCCTGAAAAACACCTCTTAACATAGAAGCCAGATGCCGGGCCTTTACATCTCAGGCAAAACCTATCGGAAGGAAATTATTGGCTGTGCCTGAGTGACTCTTTGAATGCTTGACAAAACAAAATGGGAAATTCTGTTTGTCCTCTGATTCTGCATGGTTACTATGCATGTGAGAACAGCTCTTTGTCTTCAAAAGGACTCAAGCCAACAGTTTCTGAGCTACCATCTTTCGATACTGACAGTTGAGTAACATAAAGGCAATTTAAACCATCACACATGCTAAACATCCTGTATTTGATAAGTATGTGTCTGCACACATTTTATTTGATTTATAAATTCTGTAATAAGCAAATGTGCAAAACCCGGTAAGCTGAAATGCCTCCCCTCCCAATATATATTTTTCACACTATCCAAAGGCGTGCAGAAACAAAGGAACACAGTTGTGTTTATTTCTATTTGATAAAGCTGCTTTCTCCAGCTCTAAATTCCCCCTAAAGCCAGACAGGGAACCTTTTGTGTTCATTTGATTACAGCAATCTTTTGTCCATATGATTGATATTTCTATTCTATTACGCAGTGCCAAATTCACAGTGCAGTAATATTACTATTTTCATACGTTATTACCTTGTCTTTTTGCATTGCTCTCCTGTACATCTTGCAGTTCAGTTTTACCTGCTGAATCTCAGTTCCAAATCGGACGGCATTTTGTCTTCTGTTCTGTCTCTCTCTCTCTCTCTCCCTCCCTCCCTCCCTCCCTCCCTCCCTCTCTCTCTCTCTCTGAATATTTTCAGCTTCTTATTCATATTGTCGAAGACCTCCACCTCAGATATTTTAGCTTTGATATTGTCTATTGCCTGCAAAAGAGCTGGGGCGCTCGGAAGCTCAATTCGATTGCATATTGCCTGTGAAAACAAAAACATTCCAAGAATATCTATACTATTTATAAGGAAATTTTTCTTTCAATTTGCAGCCTGCTTTTTCCATCAACAGGATAAAAAATGTATACCTTTTCTCATTAGCAAAAAGGTCATGTTCTGACTTGTTCTATATGATCAAAAGTTCTACATACTTTATATTAGCCCCCACCTCAAAGTTTGTGAAAGGAAAATTTTGCAATGAATGATTAATGCACTTTCTGTAACCTTCTGCAACACATATCCAGCTATTAAGAAAGTAACTGAATTTATAAAAAGAGACTCCCGGGAGCTGGGAGTTAACACAAACTTCTATCATACTATTTTCTCCCTAATTAAAATGTTTTAATTATAAAGAAATATCCCTGCATTGTAATTGTTACAAGATGCAAAGTATAGGATTTAAGACTTTTGTTGTTCTTAAATTAGCAACGTTCTTATTATGCTTATATATCAGCACTGCCATTTTAAAGCATCTTTAACTTCTGAATATTCATTTTATTTGAGAATATTGAAATGCAAATGAATAAACAGTTCTGAGGGATTGAAAAGTTCATGAAAAAATAATTTTCATATTACCCAGAAGAGAAAATTCACCAGCATCTGGGCTATGTTGGCTTAGTGCCACACCTTGATTCTCTATCATGCTCCATCATGCTTCTTTTAATCTGAATATTTAGTACTCTTTCATGTCTTAATTACAGCAAATTGCACACAGTTGGCACCATTTCTTGAAATTAATCCCAGAGTACTTTGTTTCTGTCAAGCACACTGAAAGCCTTGGAGAATAATAGTAAATGTTATTGCAGATCTAAATTTAAATGACTGTCTATGTATTTAACTTAAGCCTTTAATTATTCGTGCTGCACTGTTTTTGGTTCATATATTAAACATTTTTCATTGAGAAGGTAAAATTGCAAGAGACAGTTTAAAACCTGCAGATATGTTTAGATGTAAAGTTAACTTGACAATAATTATTTGTGCTAACATATTTTTTCAGGTGTGTAAAAATTGGACAGCATATAATATGCTGACAAGATTTCATTTCCCTTTTCATCATCAGTGATTATTTAAAAAAAAAAAAACAAATAGGTCAATATTATTTTTAGAAATATAACTGTTTTGTACTTGGATGTGTTTGTGTGTCTATGTGTATGTGTGCATATGTATGTGTATCTGTGCATTCTTACATGGGGATGTAAAAATGTATTTCTGCACCAAGCATGCTTCTGTAAAATAGGAAGGTCTGCCAGCAGACAGTCAGAAAATACAGGTTTTGTCATGGAAGCCTTTAGATTTAGCTTCTTTAACCACTGTTAAAAGAGCTGCTTTAACAAAATGGAAATGTATAGAATGGCTCCTAAGCTTCCACCACCTGCTTCAGATAATATATATATATATATATTTTCTGCAATTTTTCTTTGGAAGAAGGAAAGATAGATACCTGATTGTAAATGCATACATCCTGAATTACTAGATAGCACAAATTTTTGTTTTCTTTTTGCTTTTGGAATTCACACCCATGCATACATACGAACAGAGAGAATATTGATATATTAAATGGTGCAAATCCCGGCTTCTTATACATTTGCTTGCACTTTAAAAGTGATTTTTGTTTTGCGCATTTTTCTCATTGTCAGGACATGCTTGATCTTCCTTTCTACAAAGTTTCTTGGCACCTGCAAAGTCCATTTCCAGCCGTGGCATCTGCCAATCTAGATGAGGACATCCCACGTTCTATTTCTGGCAGAAGTTCCTGCATTTAGATTCAGTGCTTGCAAAGAGCTTGCCTAGACTTTTCTATCTCAGTAAGTTGTTTAAATACATGATCATGTATTTCAGGTGTCAGGATTTCAAACCTGTCATTTCTGGTTCTCAGACTCCCCTCGAGAAGCATTATAATGCCTTTTTACATTTTTTTCCCCAAATAATTTTTTAGCATCTACAGTGAGAATGCAATGAACTCCTATTATATCCTCAGAGAAGAATGTTAATACAATTTCAGAAGTTGAACTCTCCTGAAGTAGATTCTACAAAAAGATCAAGTATATGCTCCTCTGCAAGTTTCACTTTAGCAATGTACAGCTTTAGTTTAGAGTAGAAAATAACCCTGAAGAATCTGCCTTGCCTTTAACAGTGTATTGTTCCCCCCCACAAAAGGCATGAGTTAAAGCACATGTGATACACAACATTTGTAATTGCAAGGGGTTCCCCCCCCACACACACACAACTTTAAAACAGTTACAGGATCTAGTAAATCAAAAGTATTAGTGAAGAAAGTGCTTAACCCTTTTCCCAGCGTTATTTCTTCAGACTAAATGTGGATACAGGCAAAAGACAAGCTTCTATTTGATTGAGGATGCTTCCAGAGAAGATTATTACAGCACAAGCGCTCTAGGTACTTTGTAGATATTTTGGCAAATGAAGAGTCAGATAATATCTATTCCATGTAATTCACCTTTGTTTTCTTATACCAGTTAAGAAAGAATACACCATGGGTATTGATTAATATTGCTAATAGTTGTCAGTCTGAAAAAGTTTTTCCCACTGTAAATCTAGTGGCAGCATCAATAGCTAATTTATGTTTTGGTAACTGCAGAAAGATTGAACTAAAGACTCATCTTCCAATACTGTTGCTAGATCACAGTCTTAAAAATTATTAATGACAAGGGGAAAGAAGCCCTATCTTGTGAGAGTCAGGTACAAATCATCTCTGTCCTATGAGTTCATCTAATGCCCAACAATTTATTCTGTGCATGTGGATTCCTGCAATTTCAGTGTTGAGGCTCTAATATCATTATATAAATAGATAATGATTTGCACTAAGAAAGGGTTTCTTGTAGAAATGGTGTCCTTGTCATGTGTTAATGTTATTCTTGTTTCTTTCAGTTCATCTTATCAGCTATCTGAATTTGGGCCACAGCCAGATAGGTCCTTTTCACCAACTGAGTTATCAGCTAACAGAGCCCGGGTGTCTGAATCCACATTTACAAAAGTGAGACACAGATGGTGAATGTTAAACCACTAATTTACCAGGGTGCATTTCTTATGTTCATTTTTCACTTGCATACAGTGAAATCCCACACAGGGAGACTAAGAACATATTATACTTTAGATATCATAAATGAGACACAAGGAAAGAAGCAGCTGTATTTAAGAAGAAGAAAAAAACTACCTTTGGCTTTGATGAAAAAATACACCAGAAATTTTTTTTCCATTCTCACAGTGGCCTACCACATGCCAATCAGAAGCAGTAGTTAACCCTAGTAGATCCTTATAGCCAAATAGTCCAAACATTTGTCTAATCATTATTTAAATCTAAGCTAGTTATTTTCATTGCATCCTTAGTTGTTGTTATAGAATGCAAGGACAAGCAGTTATTCTTATACCATGAAAATTCAACTCATGACATAGTTGTTCAGTAGAAACCACAATAATGCTGTGTGTCATGTAATTGCATAAATGATAGAAATTAAATAATTTGTGTACTTTGCATGACTCATGTGACATCTCTTCCCTCCCTTTTGCCTCCTGTAGAGATCTGGAGAAGAGCAGTAAACTTTGCCCATCTTTATCCTTCTTCTAGACATCACCTATAGAAGATGAACAATGGAATGTTCTAATTTGTCAGGATGTTCAGGGGACTGAATTGCCTAGAACGAACCAGCTTTATTTTGTTTCTTTTTTTAAAGGAAAACATAATTTTTGTCTTACCTATTCTGTTTTAATTAGTCCAGTTAATTTAATTCACCCACACAAGCTTTTTAAAATAAAAAAATGATATGGATGCTACAATTGCATGATTAATGATTAATAACAACAATCTGGAATTGTTTCAAACCAAATTCACTGGGGAAAAAAAGATTGTTGTATTTTGAAAAGGAAAGAGATGGAAACAAAGATTATGCTTTCTTCACTCCACATATGATGGCTTATACAACAATATCTTAGAAAAGTAAGTAATACAAAATATAGCAAATAGTGTATTGGCTGGGCCAAGTGCTAAAACCATATTATATCAATATTATACTATTTTTACTAGTTTCCATTTTATCTCTAAGCCCACTCCAAAGTGAGGATATTAATAAAGTTCTAAATGGTTGTATATCTTACTAGACTCAATTCTGTTTAGTTTCTAAAATCAGTTAATGTTGGCCAGGTCCTGCCGCCTATACACACGTACTTACTCATATATATATATGTGTGTGTGTGTGTGTGTGTGTGTGTGTGTGTGTGTGTGTGTATATATATATAGCCATGTACATTTATTAAGATAAAGGAATACAAATCAAGCAAACAATTTGTTTATTTGTTTTGTTTTCCTACACCAAAAGTTGAGCTGGTGATAAATGGTAATAACAGCAGTGCTCTTTCACAGGGAAAGCAAAACAGACTATAGAAAGAAAAAAAAATGCTCTTACTTTGTGTGCAAAGATTAATGGATTTTCTGCCCTCTGACAAGGTTTGTTAACAAGCCAAAGACATGTGTATGGGGAAGACTTCAAGACACTGTAAATAAAAAGATCAATGTGGAAATCAAGTTCCTTTCCAAAGATGTTAAGTTCTCTCTAAGGGCATTCTGCAAGGACCACCAATACAGCTAATTTCAGAATTTTGTTATGCCTGGCTCTTTCAACCTTCTTATCCCTTCCATAATGTACAAGTGGTGTTGCTTTTTTCCCTCTTAAAATGAACATTGAATAATAATATGCTTGCATATACCTAACTTTTGCGAGGGAAAACATGAACACAATGATTCTGAGTTTGCTTTTTCTTATTCTTCTGTATCTTTGAGCATGTC